TCTGATTCGCTTAAGTCTTGCATAACTTTACCGTCTGTCTGTTTCTATAAATACTTTCAGACTGTCGTCGCATTAATATCAAGAAAATCTAAAAAGTATTTCGCCTATCGAGTAACGGAAAATACATTCCAACTGCAGGTGCTGAAGCAGATATTGAATTCAGTGCAATATACTTGTCTGTTATACTCGCTCAGATATCAAAATGAGAATATTAGCTTCATACCAAAATCCAGTCAATATCTATTCTAATTGATTCCAATCATTTTAATAATCTGCTGTCTTTAAGACTCCGACCATTGCAGCTCGGGAAAAATGTTAAGAGTTGCATTAGACCTGAAGGATGATGTAATCTCAAGATTTATATACCTCCATCTGGCTGTCAGTCACCTCAGAGCAGGTATAACGGGTTGATTGTACCCTATAATAATATGTTTCTATCACTTGCGCTCTGTCTGCTTTCATTCTACGTTTTCTATTCAAACTAATTGGGAATGGAGCAAGTTAAGTCTTAGCGGCTGCGATTCCTTTGAAGCCACCTGCTTAAGTTGGCATTCAGAAGATGTTGAATTGAAGCCAGACGCTTCCATCTGTGCGCATCAGGTAACTAATTCGAGGAATATTTGTTTACCCAACAAGTGCCTCGAGTGGCAATTGAAAGCCACACTGCGTATACTTGATGCCCGTCTAATTAGGGCCTTAATAGGCTGGCTCAGAGCTGCACTCGCAGTAGTCGTTGGCGTGTGAGCAGCAGTTGACTAAGAGCTCGTTTTGTCACTTGTTCTACTTGCAGCAATAACTGGATTTGTGAGAGCGACAGTAGTAACGGCAACCGCAACCGCAGCAACTGAGAGAGCTGAAGCAAGCCCCAAGAGCAGCAACAGCAGCAGCAGCAGCAGCAGCAGCACTTGTTAAGTGTGGTAGGTGCGAGGCAAAGTAAAGAGCAACGCCTTCACATTGGATTACGCGCAGTTTTACTTTAGACCGGAGCCAATTAGTGGCCAACAGCAACAACAGCAACTACAGCAGCAACTAGCGCAACAGCAGACGCAGCAGACGCAACAACAGCTGCAGCTGCAGCGACAGCAACAGCAGCAAGTGCAGCAGCAATTGCTCGCCCAACAGCAGCAGCAACTGCAGATCCAACAACTTCAACAGCAACTGCTGCTGCAACGGCTAGAGCGTGAGTTGCAGCAGCAACAACACCAACAGCAGCTAGCCCAACAGCAGCAGCAGATTCTCTACCATCAGCGACAGCACTACGGCCGACATCGCTGGCTCTCGGGCAGCAACCACTACAATTACACGCCCCTGCACCAACACCAGCAGCAGCAGCACCATTACCAGCAGCAGCAGCAGCAACAGCAACAACAGTACAGCTATTACTTCAGTCGCGGCAGCAGCAGCAGCAGCGGGCTGGGTCTGGGCCTGGGCTTGGGCTTGGGTTTCGGTCTGGGCGGCAGCAATCTAGCCAGCTGGTACCATCTGCCGTCGACGTCGGCGCACATTTACATCGGCAGCAGCAGCACTGGCGGCGCTCCTTATCCGTATCGGCTGGGTTACAGCGGCGGGGGCTATCCAGCAGCGGCGCTAATCAACTTTGAGACGTCGCCCACACCGCTGCTCTCGTCAACGGGCAGCTCGCCTGGGTACTTGCCGCCACTGCCGGCCCCGGCACTGCCACCGCCACCACCGGCGCCCAGCGTAGCCACCGATTACTACTTCAGCAGCAGCAGCAGCAGCCGGGCGCCCCCCATAGTCAGAGCCGAGCCGTTCCAGGAGTACACAGCGGCGGCGGTTGCAGCGGCGGAGGAGGAGCTACAAGCTGGCGGCTATCGTTACAAGGCAACGCCACGCCGGCGATACGACGCCTACGACAACTACGGCTATCTGCCGGGCCTTGCCAGCACCACCGAGGACGAGGACGACCTGCTTGAGGAGTGCCTGCCAGCGGCCCTGCTATCCACGGACTGCGAGAGCCTCGAAGACGTGCGCTTTCTCGAATACAACAGCAACCACCACCCAGAGTACTACGACGAGGACGACGAAGAGGCCCAGCTGGCGCACATACTCGATCTTGATCTGCCCGATTTTCTGCGCCCTTACAGCAGCAGCAGCGGCGGCGGCGGCGGTAGCAGAAACAGCCACAAGACGCCGCCACAACACGAATACCAAACGGAGCACGGCGGCGCAGCCGGAGCAGGGGCCAGCGGCGGAGGTGACGGCAGCGGCGGCGGGGGAGGAAGAGGCAGTGCAGCAGCAGCACCTAGTGCCAATCAGACTCATCGCGAAACGGAACAACAACGCTACCATCACTACCAGCAGCAACAGCAGCARCAATACCCACACCAGCAGCAGCAGCAGCAATATCCACACCAGCAACATCAACACCAGCAACAGCAGCAGCTGCAGTCGCAGCAGCAACAGGCCTATCAGTCCTACCAATACCCCTCGCACGACAGCTGTGAGGGCTTCAATCAGTTCGCCAACGACGCCAGCAGCTGCCTGGGCAATCAGAGAATGATGGTTAGCAAGTTGTGGAACAGCTGCTTTCCGGAGTTTACGCCGGATCACGTACATCGGCATAACTTCTACCTTTGCCAGGTGAGCGAAATGACTGCAACAACCAAAATCGACTTGACGGTTAACACATACCCAGTATATTGCATTATCTTACGTTACATACATTGCAAACAGTTAAAGTTCAGAAATATATTCATAGATCTTTAGAAGAAGTTTTAGTTCGGCTTGAAATACTTTTACCTCTTGAAGGAAAATTCCAATTGGATTCCATTTTTATTGTACAAAAGCCTAATCATTTGCCCTGATTAGGAATACAAATTTTGCATTTGCATAAATTATTAGAATTATATGAAGAGGATTCCCATTTTAATATAAGCAGATTGAAGTTTTATATAATTATTTTGCATTGATCCCATCCTTATAAATAGAAAAAAAATTAAATATATAATGTATACATATACATACGTATACTCCTCATCACACAATGACACGAGTCTTAGGATATCTTCTAGTCGGTCACAGCTGAGATTATAGCAGTCTAGCCAATTTAATCAAATATTATCATATGAGTCCAGGTGCTCTGCATACGAAGCAGGTGAAATTGTGTTCAGCGCTCATTTCTAGAGTTATTGAGCTACACTTATTAGCATTCCACACGGTAGAGGAACTGACTAAGGATGGAAGACGAATGAGTGAGTGTATTAAATTGAAGGTACTTGAATCTAAGGTCTTCACATAATACACATCAATATTTCTACGTCTACAGCATTTGATTTTGGCTAGAATAAATTGTCGAAAGAGTAGGTTGAATTGACAGCAATTAGCATTTAATTAAACACAATTAAAAGTATCTTTGTGTTTTTTCTTTTTCCTTTTTTTCCCAAACTGCGCAGTGGCAGCGCAACACTCAGGTGCGCATTGTGTACCTGTTCTATCGCTGGATAACGGCGATAACATGCTTGGCGGCCCTGGTCTGCTCGCTGCTGGACATTGGACGCACCGACGAGCACTTCGAGCACCACTATGCCAAGTGGTGGATCTACCTGACCCACTGGGGGCTGCTCTTCTGCACGGTGCAGGCATGGCTGGCCGCCTGGATCGTCACCCAGGGCATGATGGTCGAGCGCGAGGACTTTGAGATTGTGCGGCAGGCGAAGAAGAGCCGCCTGCACCACCTCTACTGGGTGCTCTACACCTGCGCCACGGTCTACGCCTTTATTGTAACAATGTGCTACTGGCTGCTCGTCCACAATCCCGGTAAGTAAACAGTGCTCCAAATCAGTATACAGACATACGTATATACAAAAAGGAAATAGAAAATGTGAAAGAAACAACAACAAAATAGTAAGAGTCAGCTGTTTGTCATTGTGATTCGATTCAATTCCCTGGTCCATACGTCAGGCTAATGGATCGCTTCTCACAAAACACCACCGCCTTGCAGCTCTCAATCTCAATGGCGTCGTTGGCAATGTGACTGACAACGACCAGGCCGCCCACAGTGCAGCCGAAGGCGATGTACATTTGGGCCGCCTGCTTCAGGAAGCTGTACCTCCGGTAGCTCTCCCGGGGAATGGCGTGCAGCTGGAAGGCATTGTACATGGTCCAAGGCCCGAACAGCATCTGGCAAACGGTCAGCGGCACGTAGAGGTGCATGGCCAGCCGAGTGACCAGGGCGATGGTGCTGGTGATCAGGACACTGATGCTCAGGAAGATCAGTATCCACAGATTGACGGTGAGGAAGGCGGGCAGCCAGAGGCCCAGCGGCGTATAGATCAGCACGACGGCGATGCTGGTCACAATGTAGGGCCAGGTCAGCTCCATGTCGTGCGTGCAGAGGCACATCACGAGCAGGGTGAGGCTCTCGAATATGCTGACGAACACGATCCAGTTGATGGGCGCCGTCAGCTGCAGGCGGCGGAAGCCGAAGAAGGCCAGCGTCAGGTTCAGCCAGATCAGGAAGAGCACCAGCGCGGTGAAATTGCGCTCCGGCGAGCTCAGCTGCAGCCGCATGCGGTAGGTGGCCACCAGCCACTGGAGCGTGGACACGCCCACCTGGACGATCAGCAGCACATAGACGTTGGAGAGGAAGCCGATGCGCGAACTTTCCCGCTCGGACTCCAGCGGTGGTATATAGTCATTGTAGTAGGGATTCGTGCTCGTCTCGTGCGATAACGAAGTATCCTCCAGTCTGACGCTGGTGGTCTGCGTGTCCCGCGTGTCCCGCGTGTCACGCGTGTCATGCGTGTCATGCGTGTCACGCGTGTCATGCGTGTCCTGCGTATCATGCGTGTCACGCGTGCTTCTCGTGCCCGTTTGCGTTTGCGTTTCCGCCGAGCGCATGTAAAGCTCTGGCGCTGAGCGAGACTTGCTAGACATGTTGCTTGTCAAATAGCACAGATCCATTTTCCAGACGTGACTGACAGCTGGGGACAGGCTACGCTCTCAAATGAAGCTGAAAACTGAAAACTGAAAAGTGAAAATGGAAAAAAGAGAAAACATCAAAGAGAGCAACAACAATAGCAGCAACAATCAATTGAACACAACAAACATACAACTTGATGAGCGATCAGCCGCGCGGATTGCCGCAGAGGTTGCGCAGCTATTATCTGCAACTGTTTGGAGCTGCCCTCGCATACATTCTCTTCGCCGTGATAATGCTCCAGGCGATTGAGGCGACGCGGGAGGATCCCGCCGAACGCAATTCCCTAGCTGCTCTAATCCTGTACGTCATTGGCCTGGTCTTGTTCCTTATCTATGTGAACGTACTCTGGCTGCGCCGCAAGTATCCGGTCAATTGGGCCGTCTGCACCACCATCGCCGTGGCGCTGGGCCTGGGCAATGCCTTCCTGCTGATCGCCCAGGATCCGACGACCCTCGTCCATGTGCTGGAGGTTATTGCGATGATGTGTATCTTTGGCTCCATGGGATCCTGGCAGCCGAGGCGCCTGTCGCCCGTATGGTATGCCATTATTATGTCTGTGGTCGTGGGGCTGCTGACGGGCATTGCCCTCGTACTGGCGTACTTCATCTCGAAAGGAAAAGTTGACATCCTGCTCTACCTTGTCCATGGCCTACTGACTGTGACGATGTGTCCACTGATGATATTCCAAGTGCTAGTGTTCAACGGCCTCATCTGGGGAGTGAGGCCCATTATGGACATACCGCTCTGCTCGGTCATCCTGCTGATGGACTTTCTGGCCGGCTACACCTTCGTGGATGCCGACGACGAGATAGCGCATGCCTTTGAAGTACTTTCCGAGTCCAATCTCCACTTGATGGGCAGAATGCTCAACATGTGAGGCCATCGAGTGCTTATTCTTGTTACCCGAACTCGGAGTCCGAATCTGCAATTGTAAATCTGAATTGAACTGCCTTAGATACGTTGTGCCGCATGAATGAGTTTTTTGAATAAACATAAGTCTTGAAAATCCATAGTGCAAATGCAGGCATACATTTTAATGGATAGGATTTCTGATATACCTATATAGTCAACACCTATTTGGGATATATCATAGAACATATATGTATATCCATAAATAGTTCGAGTAAGGCAAGAGACCAGACTTAGAATCATTCTATGGCATGTTAACTATCACTATATTTTGAATGGATTAGGAAATGTCTCTTTTCGCCCTTTATGACTTCCCCTGCTCACTTGGGAGCTACGAAATTACACCCACATAACCATCTTACCCTTCTTTTGAGATGTAGGCAAGAATGATGCCAGGAATGAAGATATACTCATTGACCTCAACATTGAACACATATCTCAGTCCATTTCCTTCACTCAAGTCTTCATCCTTCATCATTCAGCCCAATCATCCATAAGAAGACTGAGCAGATACTATCTAAATAAATAACAGTATCGCAGCAGTATATTCTACCCTAATAATATAATAAATAAAGACCTCTGAATTAATAATTTAATTATGCATAAGTCGCACACGTCATTTAACTTTTTTATCTTTAGATGAAATATCTTTGTCATCTATTTCATAATTAAATCCATACCAAGTGATATTTCTCTTCCTACAAAAAGTTCTCAGAATATTGAATATCATTATATATATGATATTATACATAATAACATTTTTTAAAATCTTCAGATCAAGGTGAAACGATTTGTTGCCTGAATTCAAAATTTCAATTAGCTTCGATATAAATAATAAATATATAACAAGGTATTAGATATAAATGGAGAATATACCATTTCATAAAATATTTTCCATAGCAAAAGACAGACTTGTGTTAAAATTTTACAACAAATAAACAAACGAAATCATTTGGTAGATCATTAAAATAATAAACGTATCTCAACATTGCATTATTTCTCTCATTTCGCCCCACCTTCTCCCACTCTTTCTCTGTCACTCTTACTACTTGCCCACTTATATCGATTTGTGATTCTCATCTATCATTCTCATCTATCCGCCATAGAGATCCACAAGATTGACGCATTGAACATCATGGTGCACGTATTGAACTCCATCATAATGCTCATCGACCTGGCCATTGTGGGACATCCGATTAAGATGAGCCACGCCTACTTTACAACTGGCATTGGACTGGCGTACGCCATATTCACGGGCATCTACTTCTTGGCCGGCGGCACCGACAGGTAAGCAAGCAGATGGGAATCCCCATTGGAATCACTATTGACACTCGAATCACTCTCTGTGTTAAGGAAAAACCAAACTGCCATCTACCCGATGATGGACTGGACCAAGCCGGGCAAGGCCATCATTGTGACAGTCTGTGCCATCATTTTCACGTTCTTCGTGCACTTCTGCTGCTATCTGCTCTACCGCGGGCGCGTCTGGCTGTTCACCAAGCTGTGCATTCGAGGCCGCCACAATCGCGACGGCGAGATGGGGGAGGGGCTCAACGATGATTCGGGCTCGCGCATGGGTGGAGGCGGCGGTGGCATTGGCGGTGCGGCTACTGTAGTGGGCGGCGGCGGCAGCAGCCAGGACTATGCCCATCAGCAGCAATATCCCATTGCGCACACGGAGCAGCCGCGGGCCATTTCACAGCAGCCGCCTGCCAGCTACCAGCTGCCTCCACAGTACTCGGGCTACCTGCAGCAGCCCGTAGTGGCTGGTGTCAATGTGGGCGTGGTCAGTGCGGATGGGGTCTATCAGCCGATTGGCACGGACTCGGGCCGCACGAGCGGTGGCGGCGGCGGAGGCGGAGGTGGAGCCGGAGCCGGTGCTGTCGATGGCACAGGCAAGCACAAGAGCTCTGGCACCGGCACCGGCTCCGGCTCTGGCTCCGGTTCCGGCGCTGGTTCGGCCTTGACACGTACTGTTGCCCATTTGGATGCGGCACAGCGGGAGCAGTTCCTCAATCCCAACAAGATCGTCGAGTATAAGATGTAAAGGCGTTGTACCCGGCACCGGTATACGTTCCGCTTGTCCATGAAGTTTCTGGAGAAGCACTGTGCGCAATGCGAGGCGGCACGACAGGCCGTCAGCGAGGAGCAGCGCCATCTGGCGGCGGCCGAAACGCATGCGCACAGTGGTTAGTTTAAGATTTGCTTTTGCCGTTTGATTTCCACGCCCAGTGCCGGCCGGGCACTGTTGGCATTGTGTAGCCTGTATTTGGTATTCGTAGACTGTAAATGTAGTTTCGTAATTTTGTAAAAGCTTTGCCAGATTTTGTAAGCTGCAGCCTACAGTAGTAATTCGTTTGTGCGCAAGCGCCCACAACTGCGTTAGCTCGCTGCTACAGAGACTTAGAGAGATATTTTAGCTATTGATGTATGTAGTTGTCGTATCCTGTATAGAGTATAGACAGACTCATCGATTTTGAGCGATTTCAAATCTTTTCAATGGACTAAGTTGAACATTCTTATGTTCCAACTACACACACACACGCACACACACACTAGCCCCAAAAGAGCCAAAGAACAAAACGCTTTCCCTACTTTAATTAACAGCAAATTGTGTTCAGCAAATACATAGGCAACTGCATATATGTACTTATGTATGTATGTATATGTAAACACACAGCGTCCATTAATTAATAATTTTGTTGGCTAAGCTCTTCGAACACAACAAAAGGAAAATAAAACACATACTGCCTAAAGCCTGGCGCACACTCACACACGCACACACACACACACACACACACACATGCTTTATTATTTACAATCAACCCTCTGGTAATTTTTTGTTTAGTTTTAGCTTTATTTGAAGAAAACCTTATATATGTATCGGTGCAGGAGTACAACAACAGCAAGCGCAAGCTGAGTGTTCCGAGGAGTCGAGTTTTGCTCGCTTTGAGGACACTGTGCGCATGCCTAATATGTTTTTATCATCAGTATTTCGTGGTGCATGACAGACACAAAATTGTTCTTTTTTATTTTATAAACTTAGGAGTTTAACAAAATACCAAATGAATACCTAAAAGCACAGCAAAAAGAGAGAAAAATACAAAGTAAATATATATAAATAGTTAAAAAACTAAAACGAACTCAAATGAGTATTTCAAAGCAATCTCACATGTTGCATAAATAAAAGAGATAGGAAAATTCAAAGAATAATAAGTGCACGATATTGAGAATTATAAACAGTTTATAAATCGAATATTAAAAACATTCCAAAATTGAAAAACTAGCTTGTATGATGTTAAGAAATCAAAGAAAATAAAGACAAATTAAAACAGTATTAAATTGAGTTATAAACAATTGCTCAAAACGAAATGAAAAAATATATATAGAAGACATAGCTGTATTATAGTATTAAATTATTGATATAATTAATGGGCCTACCTTGTACCACAATTCACAATGACCTGAACACCTGGACAACAATATGAAACACCTGCAAGAATCAAATAAATGAATTCAAATAATACTTAATATACTTACGTCTATGTAAATATTTGTGTTTCAATGCGTTCTATATATATTATGCTGTATATATACATACATATATATACGTATATTAAATCAATGTTGAGAACTAAAATCAAAAAAACAAAATAAAATTGAAAAATTAATGAAGAAAAACATCCGGAAAACAAAAATCAAATGCAATGAATAAAACTCGTCAAGAGGAATGTGTTAACAAACAAATAGATACAAAGGATATTTAAATACACTCACACACACACAGAGAGATATATATATAGTATATATATACAATAAATGAAAAAAGAATAGATGAAAAAAACAATAAATAACGGCATAGTAGTATACCATACACAATGTCTCTTAGATATACGAAATAAGTGTAATTTACAATTAATTTTCGATAGATTTACATAAAACCAACAATATTAATAAACGGCACATACATAAGCACATACACAGCCCATAAATTTAAAATAATTATTAAAAACTATAAAGAAGAAGACAGTTGAAAAACATTTAAATAACATAGTATGTGTAAATGATGAGAGTTTTAACGCAGTTTTCCGTTGAAATTCCGATTCATTCCAAGTACCCAGTGGATTTTTCAATTGTAATACGAGAAGAGCATATTCTAGTGGTTTCTTCCGATTGTCCATCCGATTACAGCTAAAATCTCCTTCCTGGAATATCCTCAATATGCAAATGATTCAAGATTTTATTCAATATTTGCCTTTAGCTCAATTGCTCAATTGCGTTTCGAATCCAATTGGTCTTTGAAAGTTATTTATAGAATCCGCTTGGGTAATCTCGGTTCTTCCGGGAATTTAATTTTTAAAACAATTTTTTTTTTTAATTATTCATTAATTTTTTTTTTTTTTGTAAAAATGGATTGGTTCATTGTATTTTGTGTCGGGGTTTTAGCAGAACTGAAAATATGCTTCATATTTTTGCTTTGCGAACTTTAGCATATATGTATAAATGTATGTTTATATAGACTGAATATTATTAAATGGAAAAATATATAAAACAACACAAACAGACAAAAAATAAAGTAAAATAAAGAAAATTTAAACAAGTTATTCGAATATTAATGCAAACAGTTTTCGATTGTGTAAAATATATTAAGAAAATTGTATTAACCACAGCAACAACACAGAAGAGAAAAAAGGATTAAAAAAAAAAAAAAAAACAATAAGCACATATCAATAATTAAAAAGAAAACAATTGAACAATGAAATTTAAATAAAATTTATAACGATAATACAAAAGAAAATACAAATATATATATTAAAATTGTTTCTTCGAAAGAAAACTCAAAGTTGCGTATTCTAAAAACCAAATCATAGTTGACCTCATCAAAGCCCAAAGACAACACATAACAGTAAATATAAAAAATAAAAAAATAAAATAAAAAAAAAGCATACTAAATGTTAAACAATCATTATAATATGTATACACATTTATGTATAATATATGCAATTAGGTCTAAGAGAGGATATTTAAATATTATATTTTGTAGATTTTTAGCAAAGTAGCCGAAATGTCACGATATATA